GGAGAAGTGTCAGCTAGGTAAAGCAGAGGTGGAATTCCTAGGCCATCTCGTGTCGTCAAGCGGTGTCAAACCTCTTCCTCACAAAGTAAAAGCTATTCTGGATTTTAAAAAACCGAAAGAAATCCACGAGCTTAGAAGTTTTTTAGGCGCGGTACATTTTTATCGGCGATTTTTGCCGCATGCGGCTGCCACTGAGGCACCTCTTCATAAATTGATGGGGCCGTGTAAGAAGCGTGACAAGACCGTGATAAGCTGGACAACAGAAGCAGAAAACGCGTTTGAAAACTTAAAAAAACAATTGGCCGAAGCAACACTACTTGCTTTTCCGTTGAGAGGCGCCACCATTGCTGTAATGGCAGACGCATCGGATATCGCGGTAGGGGCTGTGCTCCAGCAACGAGTCGGTGACGAATGGTTACCTTTAGGGTTCTACTCACAGAAATTTACTCCGGCCGAACAACGATACAGCGCTTACGATCGCGAGTTACTCGCCATTTATAAAGCAGTCCGACACTTTCGCTACTTTTTAGAGGGAACGAATTTTATAATTTTCACCGATCATAAACCGCTTATACACGCTTTTGACCAGAAATGGGAAAAGCTGTCACCACGACAAACGCGACAGTTGAATTTCATAAGTCAGTTTTCGTCGGACATCAGGCACATTAAAGGGACTGATAACATCGTAGCCGATATGCTCTCACGGATAGAAACGTTCGCTATTCCATCACCAATCGACCTGCAGCATCTGCGCGACGAACAAAATAAAAGCAGCGAGTTACAAGAGCTGCTAAAAGGCGAGTCTACTGCCTTGCACCTGGTACGTTGTCGTCATCCAGATACGGACATTGATATAATTTGTGATGATTCAACTGGCACATACCGCCCCTATATTCCCGAGAGCCTGCGACAGGTGGTGTTCAATGCCAATCACGGGTTAGCACACCCGGGGGCACGCGCAACCATTAAGTTAGTTTCCAAGAGTTTTGTGTGGAAGAAGATGAGCAGCGATTTACGGGCACGAGTGCGTAGCTGCTCAGCATGCCAGCGTTGCAAGGTTGCACGACATACGAAAGGAGAACTGCAAACATTTACGGTCCCTGCCAAGCGATTCGAACACATTAATGTGGATATTGTTGGACCTTTTACGCCTTCTAGGGGGTATACGTATTGCCTAACGTGTGTAGACAGATTCTCTAGATGGATAGAGGTTATCCCGTTGGAGAACATGACAGCTGAAACTGTCGCCAGAGAGCTACTCAATGGCTGGGTAAGCCGTTTTGGTACACCGAGGTACATCACCACGGATCAGGGCCGGCAGTTTGAAAGCGCCTTGTTCCAACAACTAGCGAAACTGCTGGGAGTGAAGCACGTACATACTACCAGCTACCATCCACAAGCGAATGGCCTGGTGGAAAGATGGCATCGGGTTCTGAAGGCCGCGCTCAGGTGCCATTCGGCCGACGCCAACTGGGTGGACGCATTACCGATTGTTCTACTGGGTTTGCGAACGGCTGTGAAGGAGGAGTTGGGCGCATCTGTCGCGGAAATGCTTCATGGCCAGACGATCCGACTTCCCAGTGAGTTTTTGGATGCCACAGAGAATACGGCCGCGGATGAGCAGAGTTTTTTGAGGGAGCTACGACAACATTTCGAGAACATGAACCCGGTGCAAACTTCACAGCACGGAAGGCCTGCAGTTTACGTGCCCAAGGACTTGCGTTTTTGTAGTCACGTATTTCTACGGGACGACACCATCCATAAACCGTTGAAGGCTCCTTACGACGGACCATATCTTGTGGTACACAGGCATCCGAAGACGTACACTATACTCATCGGATCGAAGCAAGTTATAGTATCTATTGATCGACTCAAACCGGCGTATTTTCCTAAAGATGAGTTGGCAGCTATAAATAGATCTGGAACATGGAAAGAACTACCTTTTCTTGGCGCTTCTTCTGGAAAGGGGGTGGTGTAGGGACTAGCCCTTACACTGGCGCGGTAATACACTCAGGTGGCAACACTGAGCGAGATGAAGAAACGTCAATTTTAAAATTTTAACCGATGCACGTCAGCTAACGTCACGCGAAAAATAGATACACAATTTGATTTGACATTTTTGGTTGCAACACATTTGTATTGAGAGAATTGTATTTGATTAAATTTTACAATAAAGAATATATAGAATTGCGTTCTTTATATGTATATTGTGAGTCAAGTAGGGGCCAAATACTGGCTGGTGATTTTAACGTATAAAACTAGTACGTAAAACGCTTAAACGACTTTAATTGCATCGTCTGAATTAGGATGAAGAAGCTTTGAAAAATATTGCCGGTACTTTGATTTCAATTAAAAACTTATTAAGATCCTAAATTGTAGCAGAAATCTAGTTACTGTGCATTTTTTTTTAGGAAAAAACCAAATCCATGTTTGGTTTTTTTAACGCATTTTTTTTAAAGCTGTAAATGAAAAATTAAAGACTGTTTTCACACTTTCTGTACCTATAAATGCAAGAAGGAAATTATAACCTATTCTGAATAGCACTGTCATTAGTCAGCCCATAATTAATTTTTTGAATCTATTGACGTTTCTTCTACTAAAATTGTTTTAGCCTAAGGCCGTTTTCTCGAATACCTGCTTTTGCCTGCATTATCGACTTTTTATCGATTTTCTGTTATAAGCATGTGAGCGACAAATTTATCAGGTAGTCAAAGCACCGCTTATCTTTAACAGGCAGTCTAGAAAACGGCCCTAAAGAGGTTTAACATTTTATAATTTTTATATTATATTCATGCAGCGTATCAGTTAATGAAGTATTTAATATTCGTTCTTATTTTCTTAAGAAATAGGGGGAAAGGTAATTATAAGCTGTTCAGAATAGGGCCGTCATTAGTCAAGGTTTCCAAAAACTGAGTTCATGTTGCGTGTTTTTCGACTAAGAAATATTTTCTATAGATATCTACGAACAAAAAAATTTTTGGATTAAAAAGTCGAAACAGAAAGTCTTAAGTATCAACTCAATATATAATTTTAAAGAATAATTTAGCATTAGAATTTGTATTTGTTATTTGGTTTTTTGTTCAAAATATGTCTTTTTTTTCAAAATATGAATAAAAAAATAGCTAAATGATAATATAGCACTTTTAAAAAGCATAAAAAAATACAAAATTACAATAAAAATAAACCGCCAAAAATTACAAATTTTTTTTTTTAGTAGAGAAGCTCTCTTCAAACATTGTTCCTCGTTATACTCAAAGCTTTAATGTCAGATTTACTGCTTTTTGTACCACAACCGTTATGAGCAAACTAGTGACTGAAAAATAGAGAATTTTTCTAAATTTCTATTGATAGTCATAAAAAGAAAAATATTTCGTTTCTTTATTGCAACCAACTGTGAGTATTACTCTCTATATATAAGCGCTTAGTCGCTAACAGAGCCAAATTTAAGTTAATTTATGCTAAAAACGAACTGCGCATGCGCATCCGTTTTTTATAAATTATGCCACACTGCTCTATAAACTATATTTTCTTTCTAATACTAAGCAGACGATGCAATTTTAAAAGCCACTTGCCCACTGAGAGCAACAAAAAGGAAGTCAGATTAAGGAAAGTTGTATAAGAATTATTATATATAAAACTAAAACAAAGTTCAGGTGAAAAAAATCAAAACTGAGTAAATAAATATGTAAGCTTTGTTTAGCAATTTTACTTATATAAATATGTAGTTATGAGTTTTTGTATGTGTTGTATATATAAATAAAATTTGTTTGCTAGTGATATATTCATGAACATAAATATATGCGTGTAAATTTAGTTAATGTGAGTTTTTAAGAATATTTCTGTTTTAATTTCCAAATGTCTGTGTATTTTTGTATATTAAATGTATAGTGTTTAGATTAAAATTTTTTACTGTGTATAAGAAATATGTATGCGTATTAGTTCAATTTCTTGCATAGTTTTAGTGAGTTAGATGAGTTTTGTGTACCAAAAATTATGTGTAAATAAATTCAAATATATGTGCGTACATATGTATGTATATAAGGCATACAAATTAAGAACGCATCATATAGAAGATACAGAGTTAATTGAACTACAAACTAAAAAAACGTAAACTATAAGAAAAGCAGAGTAAGAGGTAAATAATGCTAAAGTTGTATGTAATTTCGAAATAACAAAGAAAACAAGTAAGAAAGTCTAAGTTCGGGCGGAGCCGAACATTAAATACC